CAATTACCTCTTTTAATTTTCATAAATTTACGTGGAAAAAACACACCAACCCAATTGACGACATGGCATCAATTCCATTTCAATTGGATGACCATGGAAGAGAAGTGAGATTCCCTGCTCAAGTTCACAGGATGACAGGTCCATTACCATTGACATTTATGTCCGGCACCATGACATCCTCCCTTTTCCTCTCTCCTCTCCTTATCTTCATCTTCTCCCCATTACTCATCATCGCATCCATTCTTCTTTGACTAAACAACACCCAAATCCCGTAGGTATGCACCTCCCTTTCTCTCTCCTTCTGTTAACCCATAACGTACCCATCCTCCTCCTCCTCCTCCTCCTCCTTTGATCTCAACTTCTTTGTTTTATCAGGGCATGTTGAAGGGTATTGTGTCAAGTCAGAAGTGGGATTTCGACCAACTTAACTTCTCCAAATTGCAAGTGAGCAAGGTCAAATTTGGGATCGGCAAGAGATTTGACTTCCAAATCTAATTTGGATAGAGTTATTTTCTTTTCAAATTCCCTAATGAAGTAGCTTCCTGGGACAAGTTCAAGAAAAGAGGTGTTGATTTTGGGGATTTCATTAGGGAAGTTAGTTTTAAAGCATGACTTGATTCATTTAAAGTGGAGGGTCCATTTGCGCTCTCTGTCACTGGTCAAAATCAAGCCTCTCTACTATTTTCGATAGCTTCCTAGGATGAAATTCTTGCCATGTCATCATTGGGTGTGGAGTTTTTCCACATGGCTTGTGAAAATTAAAAAATGAAATTGGTGGAGACTTAACATGCCAACTATGCACTTCCATGACGGAAGGACCATTTGGGTTACAGAAAAAAAAAAGTTTAAGGATGATTTAGGTGCTTTTGGAAGTTAAAGGACAAACTAAGTTTAGAAATAAAAGTTTAGGGACTAAATTGGGCATTAAACCTATTTATATAATACCATGCCATAGGTATTGAAATGTCAACCTGAAAACAGAAAATCCAAATTATTTGAAGTTTAAACAAAAATTGAATGCCAAAATTGCTTACAAAGACTAAGTCCGTGTTAAAATGCTTTGGTCCCTTTTAATGACAATTGCAACCCAGAGAGATCCATTGTCCTAGGATTATAAAGAAAATTTTCAAAAAATCCCCCCATAGACCCTTGAGCAACCTGAATTCAGCCACAAGGTTTGGGTTTCAACTTCCACACCCACCCCCTTAAAGATTTTACTTGTTTAAAAAAAAAGGGAAAAAAAAAAAGAAAAAAAGAAAGAGAGGAAGAATAAGAAAAACACTAAACTGAGAAAGCATCATGATATGCAGAGGTGGTCTTCTGTCTCACTCATTTGAGCTACAGGCCAAAAGCAAAGGGATGTTCTATGGTGTGCCAGCAGTTGTAACTTTCCATATTCCTACCAAAGCTGCACTACAGGTTTTGCATCAATGCTATTGTTTTATTCTCATCCCCTAAGAAGGAAAAATTGAGCAAGCATCAGTTTTCTAACTGTCATGGTTATAGGAGGCCTAGTCAACTCCAATATTGCCTTAGGATATCCTGGCAGAATGAACTCCTGAGAAGAAGCTTGAGTGGGTAAGTATTGTTAGTCTTTCTCAGTTTAATCTCTGCGTCAGAACATTTTTATGCATTTGCTGACATATTTTTTCGCTTTTCCATGGAACCATCTTTGGTTGCGGTAAAATGTTATAGGTTAAGGTATGAATGATCGTCGTTTCGCTTTCTAAGAACATTCATATTCACTTAAGATATTGGATGAACCGTGAGCACTGTCACACACACCTGGGAGAGTGGGGGGTCGATTTACAAGATTGGGTTAACCAGATAATATTCTTGCTTTCCATTTCCTTCACTTCCTCTTCAAGCTGATGTTTACCTTTTCTTATCTGCAGAGGTTGCTTGCTAAGTAGGGGTCACAAATCTCTGTGGTTGCCATTATTGCTCTGTTTGTGTACTTATTACTCCCTCAAAATCGAGTGTTGCAAAAGCTAGCAAGAAGAAGCGCTGAGCATTGAGCTAAGAACTAAAGCAATAGATCCCTGTGCTTTACCTAGACATGGACGTTGGTAGTTAAAAGCAGATTGTAGAACAATTGCTATCGGGAACTTCGAATTAGACACGATCGTTGAGTTAGTGCTAAACAACCAATGAATTCTCAGCTATGGACACTTTATATGATCAGTGATCGGTTGTTTTGGAATTGATTTCTTTGGCCTTTAATGCTTGAATCTGAGTTTTCATTTCTTTCACATTGTAGCTTTTGTACTTGAGTCTGAGGATAGGACTGTTGAGATTTTGTGATGGAAATTAAAGGGCATAAGGTGGATAGTCTCGTAAAACCCACTTCAATTAGCCATTGACTGTGCGCAGTTGTGTGTTTTTCACAAGAAAGATGTGCAGGTATGGTCCATGAGGAAAAAATAAAAAATGGTTTAAAGTAATGGTAATGAACAGAAAGAGGAGTAAAAGGGGTGTTAATGAACATAGAGAGGAGTGGAGGAAGATGTTAACTAAAAAATTAAACGCATCATTTATGGAAGATACTCGTAAATTTTTTTCTAAAATACCAAGACTCACGAAAAATTCTACAGTAATTTGAATAAAAAAGTATTTGATTTATTTTATTACAATTATGACACGGTATGAGATTATAAATTTACAATTATAATGTAATATTAAATAAATATATAGTATTATTTATAATTTATTTTAAAAAAATTAATTATATAATAATATAACATATTATAATACGACGTAACATTGTAATTATAAATATTTTTATAATAATTACGTATTTGTTTTAATTTGTTAGTTTTAGGTTGGCACTAAAGTTAAAAAAAAAAAAGAAAAATTGATTGATCTACAAATGCATTCTCAAGATTACTTTAATCTTGAATTGTACATAAATTGTTCCATCATCCAAATTAAGAAAAAAGAAATTAAGTAATAATATGTGTACAACTTTTACAATTTTTGTTTAAAACTTTTAAGTATTATCAAATAGTCTGGTAAGAGTAAAAGAGACCAACATTTTTTTTAAGTTCCCCGTTGAATTGAAACTGTGTAACATCAAAATTAAATAAATAAAAATCAACTTATTGGTGATAGACTGGCATTAGAATTTTGGAGCTCCAAGGTAATATTTGGGGCAGAAACCAGAAAGTTATCAATTTGTTGTTGATAACCAGGAAATAGATTTAGCTTGAGAATAATAATACAGATAGCAGGTATGGGCATTCCTCATGATATTGCAGACAAATGAAACATGTTTGATTTTTCTCCACGCACGTCCGCTTGTCCTGTCGTTTATATTATGAAATAAAATTTATATGAAAGTTGGAATTTTTTTTTTCATCGTCACGCATCAACATTATGGAGGAAGTGAAAAGGGCATTTTGTCTAAGGTTTAGCAGTTGGTCGGTACTTGGGATTCGTTTTTACTTGTTTCCTAAAACTTTGCATGGCATCATGGTACGTGCTATATATCTGCTAATTTTGTTCTTTTAAGTGATTGTGGGACAGACTTTGCATATAATTTTGTTCAAAAACCTATAACGAGGTGTGTCTATGATCTGAAACCAAAGGCCATCATCACCATTCATCAACCATATCTAGCAGGGCAACATCAGAAACTAGGGTGACATAATTAATATTGATTGTTATGCACACTCAAATAGATTTTTTTTGTCCTCTTCCTTTTTGATGGAAAAGAGGCTAAAAGATCATCAAATGATACTTTTTGAGAACATGCTTCTATGTCTTGTCTGAACCGTAGTCTGTTGAAGAGTTGTTTAAAGTATATCAGTTATCCTACCTTTAACTTGGAGGAGATGATTATTACATGGTAATTAGTTTTTGGCAGATCATTTCTCGTTTGGATGAAATACACATGCTTTAATTAGCTGCTTAATTATTGTTTGCATGCTATTACTATTGCATTTCTAAGGCCTAATTAATGCAACTTATATTTATGCAGTTCGTTGTTACTGCTGCTGCTGCTGCAACATGATAGAGGAGTACTGCTGCTTCTTTGTACAGTAATTAAATGGATTGATTCAATTTTTTCACTGTCACTACGTACGCTTACTTAATTAAGCCTATGGGAGAGAAATAATGTTGCTTCCGCCCTCCAGTGAGTATTAAATTAATTATTAATGACATTTATTTGGGGGTTTGGTGATTACTGTCTCCGTCCTTGGCACTCAGTTCAGTTGGCATGTATTCCTTGTATGCCTGTTTTATTTAATTCTAGCTACCTATATAAGTACAAATAGCTCGATCTTGCTCCCAGTTGATGTGTATTTATTTATCTTAATTTGTTTTCATTTTATTGCGGGCTTCCTTCCATTGTTTTACTGATGCGCTTTTCATCCCCTTAATTCTTTTATCATCCAATACCAACACTTTCCAATTCTCTTCCATAAAAGAAGAAAATACCGCAACCAATTGTCAATAATGGGGTCAAAGCTAAAAAGGAAACGACAATTTGGGCTATGATAATAGAGAAAAGGGGGGGCTTAATTGAAATTTTGTTTGAGTGACAAAATAAACTTAAATTTTTAAGTCAAATTTTTTATTTATATTATACA